TCATTGCCTAATAAGGTTATCAAATGAATTGAAATAACAACTGATATCACGGAAAACGATATATGAGTTAATATATGCTCTAAAGTTGTAAATATCATATATATAATGAAAATAAAAATATCTATAATGAAAATAAAAAAGGTATGAATTGATGCTGATGTGCATCTTACATAATTAATGATGCAGAACTTTTTCAGTTCATCCTATTGGCTCGTCCTAAATAAGTATAGCTCCATCCAATTTTAGAATCTCAATTAATCCCTATATTATTGTCTTTTTTATTTCTCAATTTTCTTATTTATACCATCCTAATCTAGAATAAGATTAGGAATGAAACCTCTATTATTCTGTCTAATCTATAAGAAAAAGAAAATGTACATACAGATATTTCTTTAATATCTGGGGTTGTCGAAGTTCAGATTACTTTCTGATTTTTATCATTTAGTGAGCATCTTGTATTTTATAAAAATTGGGGGCGATATAATCTTTACGCAAAGGCCATCCTATCCAACTTTCGGGCATTAAAATACGTTTCAGACGCGGATGATTATCATAATAGATTCCTAACATATCATAAGATTCCCTTTCTTGAAAATCTGCACTTTTCCAAACCCAGAAAATAGAAGGAATTCTCGGATTTTGCCTCGGGGTAAATACTTTTATGCATACCTCTTCGGGTTGATCTAGACTATACTCTATTCTCGTAAGATGATAGACACTCGCTAATAGTCCTCCTGGTGCTACATCATAGGCACATTGGGAACGTAGATAATTGTAACCATATACATATAAAATAACAGCAATTGAATGCCAATCCTCGGGCTTTATTTGTAAAGTCTCTATTCCTTGATAATCAAAACCTAAAGATCTATGAACTATTCCGTGTTTGACTAGCCAAGCAGACAAATTACCTTGCATTTTTTTACTTCTCCCGAGTTTTTTATAAGATTGGTATAAGTATTTACCATTTATTTACATTACAATGAAATTTTTGAAGATTGACTTGCTTGCTATTTCTTATTGTATTTTGTACAAAAGGATCCTGTTTAATTCACTTTTTCGTTCGTCGGAGGAACCACGATGATTTCCCCAAAAAACCTTTAATCGAAGTCCATAAATTCCCTGAGTAAGAACTGCTGGATCATCATTTATTCAATTAATAGATAGAATGAAAAAAAAAGACAAAGAAATGATAAGCGGTGGCAGTTTTAAAGAATAAAATTCCATTTCTTTTTCTAAATGAATTCTTATAATTCTTTCATTTTTTTTCGTCCGGTTGCGAGGTCTAAATATCAATATAAATATGAAGTATGAATCATAGTTCTAACACTTGAGAATCTATTTATTTTCTATATTTCGTGCTCCAGATACTAGAATAAATATCTGACGGGGGAAAGCCATCTATCAAGATAAGATGACGTATCCATTTTATGTTATGTACTATCAATAGGATCCATTATAAAAAGTCACACACTCATATTCCAGAAATACAGAAACAAAGAAGTTTCGCGGTCGAACTACCAAATCAAAATGGAATGGGCTAAAAGTTAACGATTTAAATGCTAAACTTGACTTTTCGATTGAAAAGCTAGTTAGTTGGTTCTTGTGAATCTAATTCTCTAATTCATAGAAATTTGGTCCAGTAAAAGGGACGAATTATAAATCTCTAAAATAATAGAGAGAAATACCGCAAATAGGGCCATTGCAATCCCCATCAAAGGGGTAGTTCCCCACCCCGGAGCTACTTTACCATATTCTGAATTCAATGGTTTCAATAAATCTCCTACAACAGTTTGTCTTGGACCAGATCTAGAACTACCCTCAACGGTTTGTGTAGCCATAAATCCTATATTTTTTTTTATTGAGATCTGTTGACTTTGTATACCATTCCGCTGTAGATAAAGGATCGTACCCTATAGATCCATTGTAGTCTTGATATTCTATAATCATGGAAACAGCAACCCTAATTGCCATCTCTATATCCGGTTTAATTGTAAGTTTTACTGGGTATGCCTTATATACTGCTTTTGGGCAACCCTCTCAACAACTAAGAGATCCATTCGAAGAACATGGGGACTAGTTGAAGTAATGAGCCCCCAATATCGTAATATTGGAGGCTCGTTACTTCAATTGAGATAATTAAAAATCATTTTGTGTTTTTAGTTGGAATTTGAGGGGGTTCTCTAAAAAAAATAGCGAAAAAAATGATTCCTAAAGTCGAGACTAAGAGGAATGTATAAACCAATGCTTCCATAGATTTGATCGTGGTTTACAATTATAGCTTTCATACCTGTTTTGGGGGAATTATCTCCTGGATAAAGAAAAAGAAAGAACCAGAGTAAAACAAAATGGAATGATTGAAATCAAGATTTCTCTAGTTCCCTATATGAAATTCAAATAACAACAAAAAAAGTTGAATCGAAAAGGAACAAACCTATTTCTATCAGACTCCCTGTTTTTTTGTAGTTGGATCTCCAAGTTTTTGGAATGCTCCAAATTCTACTTGCGCATCTAAATCTGGATCAATACCAGCAAAAACATCTCTGAACAAGGTTCTAGCACCATGCCAAATGTGCCCGAAAAAGAAGAGCAGAGCAAACGAAGCATGTCCAAAAGTAAACCAACCCCTTGGACTGCTACGAAAAACACCATCTGATTTTAAAGTAGCACGATCTAATTCAAAATTTTCACCCAATTGAGCACGTCGAGCATATTTTTTCACAGTAGCAGGATCACTATAACTGACTCCATTGAGTTCACCACCATAGAATTCAACAATTACACAGACTTATTCGACACTATACTTCGATTCTTCCCTTCGAAAAGGAACATCCGCTCTAACAATTCCGTCTCCGTCTACCAAAACAACCGGAAATGTTTCAAAAAAGTAGGCATACGACGTACAAAAAGTTCACGCCCCTCTTTGTCTCTAAAGATAGGATGCCCTAACCAACCAACCGCTATTCCATCTCCATTGTCCATTGAGCCCGCTCTAAACAAACCCCCTTTTGCCGGATTATTACCGATGTAATCATAAAAAGCTAATTTTTCAGGAATTTTAGACCAAGCTTCTGATAAACTTTGATTTTTGACTAGCCCAGCACCAACTCTTCGATATATTTCTTGCTGGAAGTATCCCTGATCCCATTGATAACGAGTAGGACCAAATAATTCAATCGGGGTAGTTGTTGAACCATACCACATAGTTCCAGCAACAACAAAAGCTGCAAAAAATACAGCAGCGATACTACTGGAAAGGACGGTTTCAATATTTCCCATACGCAATCCTTTGTATAAACGTTGAGGTGGACGCACACTAAGATGGAAAAGACCCGCTAATATGCCCAATGTCCCTGCTGCAATATGATGAGAGGCTATTCCCCCCAGAACAAAAGGATCAAAACCGTCCACACCCCATGCGGGATTTACAGATTGTACCCTTCCTGTTAGTCCATAAGGATCGGATATCCATATTCCAGGACCAAATAATCCTGTTACATGAAAGGCGCCAAAACCAAAACACGCCACCCCTGCAAGAAATAAATGAATTCCAAATATTTTTGGTAAATCCAAAGAAGGTTTTCCAGTACGTTCATCACAAAAGATTTCTAGATCCCAATAGACCCAATGCCAAATAGCCGCCAAAAAGCACAAGCCCGAAAACACAATATGTGACGCGGCCACACCTTCGTAACTCCAAATACCCGGATTCGTTATAGTGCCTCCTGTGATATTCCAACCAACCCACGAATTGGTTATTCCTAAACGAGTCATGAAGGGTATAACGAACATACCCTGTCTCCACATTGGGTCAAGAACCGGGTCAGAGGGATCAAAAACTGCTAATTCATATAAAGCCATCGAACCGGCCCAACCAGCAACCAGAGCTGTATGCATTATATGGACAGAAAGTAAACGGTCGGGATCATTTAATACAACGGTATGAACACGATACCAAGGCAAACCCATGAAAATACCCCTTATATCAACAAAAAATAGACACTATGTAACTTTATTGCACTGTAAAAAACTATGTTATGGACCTTCCCCTTATTAGTAAATTATATCGCATGAAATAATTTATATTTGTTCTAGTTTTTTAGAAACAAAGGAACATTCTATTCGTTGGAACAAAAAGAAGCAGATCTATTCTATATCCGATAAGTAACAATACGCAATGGCAATGGTGGTGGGGTTTAGTTTTTTTTTATATGCGTGTTTATATCAGTGAATGCAGACACTGGATACTAATACAAGAATAACAAATCCCTTTTTTTCGTCAAAATAAAGATTCTTTGTTCGTGTATTAGACACAAACAAAAGTCTACGGGTCTTTCTTGGTTTAATTACAAAGATAGAGCTTTCTATATATATAGAAGACTTTCTTATACTAGAACTAGAAGTTGAGGGTTCTTTACATTCATTATTAGCTTCGGACTATAAACTGAGGATCAATGAAAATGTGAATAGGATTAATTGGTTTCTAATAATATAATTCATGAAGCAAAGAAGAATATTTCTAGAATTCAATTCGATAGGAAATATAGAAATATACATTTTTTGGTTGTCGGAGATCCTTTTTGTTAGAATCCCCTCTTTCATTTTAAAGAATTCAATTCATTAGTCGTCCAGTAACACGTAACAAGAATAGCAGTAGAGACATATCCAAGAACGACCTATTCATCAAAACTTTCCTTTAGTCTTCTTTTTTGATGTTATTTGGCGAAATAAAAATGATTTTGAACAAAATCAACTCATTCTGTCTCCGGATGTTCTCACACCAAAGCAAAATCCGGTCGACAATTTCCATTCCAGAACATGAACAAGTAAAAATATATTCCGAAGAAAAAAAAACAAAAAGAAAATTATTATTGGACGCAATTCGAACTGATCCTACTAATAATACAATTTTTAATAGAAAACTATGTAGTGAAATAAACGAAATAAGTAAAGAAGTTCCTCGATGGTCATACGACTTAGTCGACGAATTGGCGGTATTG